AAAAAAAAAAAAAATAAAAAAAAAAAAAAAAAAAAAAAAAAAAAAAAAAAATGACACAAACATTCTGTAAAAAATACAGTGTGGAAATTGCAAATAGTATTGAGAGACGGGCTTGACAATGGTGCTGTTAGCACTGTTGCCTTGCAGTAAGAAGGTCCTGGGTTCGAATCCGGGCCTAGATGTACTAGGCGACCTGTCCAGGGTGTCCACTGTGCTTCAGTAGGGTAAGGGGCCAGGGAGGTGTGGCAGGAAGCAATGACAGAAACTGGGCGAGATTGATTTTTATAGAGCAGATGTTTTACTTTTGCATTGCTTAGCCTACATCTTTTAAGTTGCTTCACATTTTCCTTTAATTATATTATTTCCATGCCCCCCTGGCGTTTAACATATTCAGTGGGTTATGCAGGTGGCCAGAGAGACAGCTCTAATTCAATTCAAAAGGACAGGCCGTTGACTGCTCGTTCCTACAAGTCTGTTGCCTGTTTGTGCTGAGAGAGTGTTCGTTTTTTTTTTTCTTTTTAATTCTTTTTGGGTACCACTAGACTGGTAAGAAATTACCTCTTTACTACGCTTTTCTTTGTGAGGGTCTAGCTCAGGGGTGTCAAGATCCACTGTCCTGTAATTTTTAGATGTGCAACAGGTACAACACACTGGAATGAAATGGCTTAATTGCCTCCTCATTGTGTAGATCAGTTCTCCGGAGCCTTGCTAATGACCTAATTATTCTATTCAGGTGTGGTGCAGCAGAGGCACATCTGAAAGTTGACAGCTGTGGTCTCTAGACCAACATTGGTTTTTGAGAAACAATTTCTTTCTGGAGACTCTGTTGAAGTTTTAAACTTTACCCAATCACTAACGTTTGCCCGTGACATATGTAATGCACCACTTTGATGCTATGAAGCTTACCGGAAATTTTCCGTGCCGTAAACAACCATCCTCCACCCTATGAGAGAAGTGCCGAGGAGAAAGAGACGGGCTGCCCTTGTTTATTTAAATTGGAAGCGTGGCCAACACGGACTGAATGACCTTGTTCACTTCACCGCTGACATTGCAGATGCAAATCTAAAACAGCGCAGGAAATCAAGGTCACTGTTCAAAACTTCTTCTCTTCTACTGGAAGAATCCACTTCAATCAGAAAAAGCCCAGATGGAACAGTGAAAATTGCGCAGGAAGGAAACAGTCAGACTAGGATTTCACTAAAACTGCTCGCAGTACCTGATCCAATGACAAGGTAACTTCTATATTTGCTAAGTACAGAAGCTTGATGTCGTACATTGTGGTGTTGCAAAGTAAATGCCGTCTCATAGGCCTACATAACAGATTCACACGTTTTTGATGCAATCCCATTGAGCGCTATATTCAGTGCAAACACAAACAGGTTCAGGCCCTGCTGCTCAAATAAAAAGCTCATGGTGACAGTGGTACTGGTGT